AGATTTAGATTAGATCTTAGGAAGAAATTCTTCAGTACAAGGGTGGTAAGACTCTGGAATAAATTGCCCAGAGAAGTTGTGGATGCCCCCTCCCTGGAGGTGTTCAAAGCCAGGTTGGACAGAGCCTTGAGCAGCCTGATCTAGTTGAGAGGTGTCCCTGCCCATGACAGGGAGGTTGGATTAGATGATCTCTAAGGTCCCTTCCAGCCTATGCCATTCTATGATACTATGATTCTATGCCTTTTCAAACCTCATTTTTAACTAAATACATCTAGCTCAGCAAAGGCTCAAATTGAGTTCTAAAAAAAAATCCTTGCTAGCCATATCTGGATATTTGGATTGTATTCTTCATCCAGGATTTTATTCCTTATTACAACAGCAGCAATACAAAATTCTGAATTGTAAGAACTGTACTCTACCCAATTGGTTTCACTTAGTTCTTCAGCAGAAAAAGTTACGTTTTTCACAATTCCAAGCTGTTTGAGTAAGTTAAGTAGCTTAGTGTTGAATTAACAACAAAAACAAACCCAAATATCAAACAAATACATTCCAATCTTATTCATGAGATGCCTGCCCTTGTGTTTTAACTTTTAGTTTTAAATAGTGAATGTGTCAGTCTCAGCAAACAGTAGTCAAGATTTGATAAGCAATCACCATGTTTTCTCGTATCATAGCAGAGCATTATCGTCTTTAGTTACAGCATCTGAAGTGGAAGAACAGATAGGAATTTTTGTTCTTGCACGCCTTAACACAGTCTTCTGGTTCCAGAAGTGAAAACTGTCAAAATTCTCACGCTGCTCCATTTTTCAGAGGGTAATCTATATGAATTAACAGTATACAAAGCTTCTTCATGTCTCTATACACCTTGTATACAGGCACATATATGTAACATGCGACACTGCTTTTTGTGCACACCTTATCAGTTATACAGAGGAGCAAAGATTCAAATAGTCCTGAAATCTTTTGTTGACTATCAAAAGCCTATTCAAAAGCATACTACTGCACTTCATACAAGCCATCAACTGAGAAGACTGGCGTGCAACAGAATGCATAGTATAAATAATCCTCCTACAAACGCAGAGGTCCTCACAGGCCTTGAAGGATGTGAGGGGCATTTGCATCTGATTCAAAGATGCAGGTTCTAAAATATTCTAGATATAGCCCTTCCAGAGGCAACCACTCAGAGTGAAGATTATGTGTCTGTCACTACTGTCCAGCGAAGCCTGCTCCTAAGATACCTAGGCTAGCATCAACCAAGCTAACATGAACTAGAAAGCTAGTCACATCTTTACCATCTGAACACACAAGAAAGATTCTTAGAGGTCAGAGGTATAGGAAAAACACATTTCAAAGACAGTATTTGGGAACAGATTTAACAGTATCTAAGTGCCATGATGTAACAAAATTGCCTCAAGGCATGGGGTGGGGGCAAATCTCTAAGGAGAACCCTCAGCAAATACCACAATCCTACTGCAATCTACTTTAGAGCAAGTGGAAACACTAGGAGCTAGAAACCCTCTTCTAGATACAGAAGCACAGCACAGAAAGTAGCGACCATAATGTTCTACATTTACAACTTGACACATAAGCTGGAGTCCTGTAACCTAGCTTTAAGATCTGTCACAGGTACCACAGACCTGAAGAATTCTTACAGTTCCATTTATAGTGTGTGCATATGTATATATGTATTTTTAAGTTTCTAAGGTGTAGTATTTTTGGCAAGCAACTCTACTTTAGAAACCTTAGTTCTATGGTATTTTTGTTATGGACAGATTTTAGCTAATTCTGAAGTTGACAGCACTGACCTTTTTCTTCAAACTGCTGGTTTGTATTTTCCAAGGGCAGAGGCTTAGAAAATTGTTAAATCATCACGATTTTTTAAATAGAAATTTGGAGGTCTTGTTTAAACTTGATTTATCACACTTTAGATAGATGTACACAATATTTGATGTTTGTGGGCTGACTTCACAAAAAAATTGACAAACACTGCAGCTACATCTCCTCACAAACAGTATGAGAAGCCTACATTTAAAAGAAGATGCCTTGCACATGTGCAAATACATTTGTCACCATTAAATTACAAGTATACGTATGTTTATTCTTTTATTCGCTCTTGAGAATTTCACTACCTTACAAAATCCTCTAGTCTTTGTGCAGAAAAAAATTGTTAAAATACATCAGAGAGCTAAATGTACATCCAAGCTACAAGACTGAGCCTTCTAGTAGCATAGTCCAGAAACACTGCACTGACGGCCTTTAGGAGGAATAGCAAATGTAACTGTAGCCCTCAAAATTACTGTATGCAATATGACTAATCGATACCAGACAGAGGTATAAAACTGAAGTTTAAAACCTAAAAATATAAAAAAAAAAATCAGTAACTAACCAGCCATGATTTTCTACTTGATTACATTGTTGTCCTTATTTTAAAAAAGTTATAGTGCAATCTCTACTTCTACATAACTCACATAGTATTAATGTGTAGAAAGAGTTACGCCGCTAACTATACTAAGGGTGAAGTTCAGCATTTATATCCTTCATTAAAATTTCAAAATCTGAGGGTTTCCTCAACTACATTTTTCACCAGAGGCAATTCTGACATTTCAGATTGCCCCTAGCAGAAGGAAAGAATGTCTATCAGTTTTTATTTTTCATTTAAGCAGAAATAAGCTTTTTGTTAATCAAGGGATTTTTTAAAAAAAATGAAAACAGCACTAATACTGTTTCACTAAGTAGTACGCTTAAAGTCCCTTTTTGAGCAAAAGGATGCAGAGAAGTTCTCGAGGATATGCACACTAGAGCGAAAGTATGGTCATTTAGTCACATCAAGGGATGTCTGGAGAGCTTTCTTGGCACAGTGGCAGCCTAAGGAGTTCCCACCTCTTACTGTTACTCCCACTCTCCAATCCCATCATTGTTCTAGCACTGCTGGGTGTCCTAGTTTACTGTGTGCTGCAGCCAAATACACTGGATTACTTTTTAGCCAGATCGGTTCCTCAAGTTAGCTCCCTACTCAAGCAGCTCTGCAGGAAGAGTTGATTAATTAACACAGATAAAAAAGGTCCTCTGCTTCACCTCTCACATCATCAGCCATAGGCTTCTGCCATTTACTGTGTTCCAGTTCTGGAACACACCCAAACACCTAAGCCAACTGAGTCATTAAGATGGCTGAAAACCAACCTGGAAAAATAGCACATCATCACAGAATGGTTGAGGTTGGAAGGGACCTCTGGAGGTCATCTGGTCCAACCCCTGCTCAAGCAGAGACACCTACAAGCTGCCCAGGACTGTGTCTAGATGTTTTTGTAATAATCTCTAAGCATGATGACTGGACAACCTCGCCGGGCAACCTGTGCCAGTGCTCAGTCACCCTCACAGCAGACGTGTTTCCTGACATCCAGAGGGAACCTTTTGTGTTTCGGCTTTGCCCACTGCCTCTATTCCTGTCACTGGGCACCAGAGAAAAGATCCTGGCTCCGTCCTCTTTGCACCCTCCCTTCAGGTATTTATATACATTAATACGATCCCCTCAGAGCCTTCTCTTCTCCAGGCTGAACAGTCCTAGCTCACCCAGACTTTCCTCACAGGAGGGGTGCCTCAGTTCCTTAGGTTTATATGACAGCCCTTCCCCAAAGCACAAGATACTGCCTGTCTCTGCAGTGTGTCCTGGAGGTAATATCCCTCCCTCTCCAAACACCAAGAAAAGCATCACGAAAGCAGCGTACTTGCTGCATAGAAGTTTTTGGTGCAATATGTATATGACATGGAATTCCATGATTCCAGACACAATGCTCTTGATGAGAGTTGAAGCCACTGCATAGCACATCGACTTACTACACACAAACAGTAATATGAAATCACCTACAAAGAAGAAAGCTGCTATACAACTTCAAGTCCCAGCAACATGTGAAAATCTTGAAAATCTTTCTGAATAAAAGTTCTAGAGATAAAAAGGGAAGGCCTAAAGAAAAAGTATACATGAACTGAAAAAAAAGGCAGATAGTTATTTATCAGTATTTGCAGTCCTTTTGCCTTCTACAGTGACTCTAAGCCACTCTAACTCTCCCATTGCATACAGATCTGCAACAAGTGGAGTTTCGACTGTACTTTGTTTACATAAGGACAGATTTATGGCCTTAATATTTATACATATGAAGAGCTTATTCACCCAGTGTGGTGCTCTATGACAGCCACCACCAAAACCAGACTGATGATAGGTCTTGGTTTTAGCTGTATCCATTTGGAAGCAGTGCAGATTCTCCAGACAGAATTTAAATCCCAACACTTCAGAAACAATCCAGTTATTCTGCCTGAGGGTGTTGCTTTATAATAATGCTAGATTACCTCAGCAGCATTACTGAGCCACCGAAACACACCCTTTGTTTTCCCCACCTTTTGTAAGAATGTTCTCTGACAAGACACTTGCAGCAACGCTCAATTTCACTACCGCTACATTTTTAGAACTACCAAAGAAGCAGAGGGAATAATAAAAAGCAAATGAAAAAAGCTACCAAGCTCAATCATAAAATGAAGCTTTAGCACACTTTCAGTTATTTTAAAAATTACTTTTACACAACAATCATTACAATATTCTAGCTCTTAGAAAAAACATTAAATTACAGTTATAAAGGAAATACTACAGGCAATAACACTGATCAAAACGTTTGTGAACCATGATTCAGCACTGGAATAGAGAAATTACACATATTGCAGCTGTGTGTGTTAAGTGAAGTTCTTCCTTATTATGGCCCTCATTTCACAATATGCTTATACTATACACATCTTCATTAGAACTATTCAGAGACTGGAAATCCCATGCATAGTTGACACACATCTTTTGAAACGGAAGCCTGTGTGAAATAATGCAGTACAATTAAAAGTTATTCAGAAATCCTGCTCCATGACTGGTTATTAGCTTAAGCATAATTTTCTGAACAAAACATGGTTTAATTGATATAATTTGCCTTAATGGACTTTAAGGCACAGAAAATGCTTCTCACCTGTAGTTGTTGATACTTTGTTACATTAATCTTATCTAATGATTTTGCCAAATCCGGATGATGGATAACATCATCTAAATCTTCTGTGTCTTCAGTTTCAGATGTAGAAGCACTTTCTACTGTTACTTTCACAGGAACATCTGTCTAATTACATCAGAAAAGAAAAACACACCCACGCACAGCATTACACTGTGCAATAAAAATCAAAGATTAAACAGTATTAAAAGCTTAATTTAAATGCAATTATTTCCCAGAGTCCCTTACAATACATATACGTTGTCCGGCTATGCAATTTTGGAATAAATATGCGCAGAACAGTACTTTTAAAAAAATTGCATGTGTGCATATATTTGGTTTATGTGGCAAGGTGTTGGCAGCAGGGGCCGGGGGCGGCCCTGTGCCTGACACAGGCACTTCCAGCCAGCTCCAACGGACCCACCGCCGGGCACAGCTGAGACCCCAGCCGAGGTGGTGGCACCTCGGGGAAAGCCTGTGTCAGAAAGGGAAAAAAATGCCAGACAGGCAGAAGAGGAGGGAACAAAAAAAAGCAAGAAAGAGCAGAGGGAACACCAGGCTCAGAGAAGGAGGAGATGATCCATGGTGGAGCTGACACCCACGCTCCTGCCCAGGGAAGACCCGATGCCAGAGCGGAGGGATGGTTTGAAGGAGCTGTGCTCCATGGACAGCCTGTGCCGGAGCAGGTTTTCCTGAAGCACTGCGGCCCTTGGGAAGCTGACACCAGAGCAGAGGATCAGTGTGCTGACTTCAGTGACCATCAGACCCTTCTGTGAGCCAATTCAGTTCATTAGTGCACACTTACACACTTCTCCAGCTCTCCTCTGGTGGCTGGGGGAGATGGAAATGAGATGCAAAGAAGAAGGAAGAAAGAGGGGATATTTTTCCCCCTGCTGGTATGTTTACCACAGAAGTTCACACATGGGTGCAAACACAAGTATGTAGACCAGAAGCAAAAGGAGGAAAGAGAGGAAGGGGGAAGCGGAACATTTCAGAGAAAAATGCTGTTAATTGTCCTTACTGTCTCTAGAGGGATTGTGCCCATACTCAAACGCAGCTGCCCATAAGGCTAAGAAACCCAAAAACAGTGACACAGAAATGGGAATAAAATAAGCATCAAAGAAGTTTCAACCAAATAGTGATGTAAACTACTATTTTGCGCTTCTACAGGAGAGAAACTTTAAAAGTTTGTTCTAGTCTTAACTTTTAGACAATTCCATCTTTTTTTCGTGCATTCATCTACTAAATAAACTATCACATGAGAGAGAGTACCTGAATCTTCACTGGTAATTCTTCAGTACTATCCACTGGTCCTCCTCTAAAGTTAGAAAGAAACACTTTTGAGAAAATTAAGTTTATAATGTCATCGTTACTACTTCCATTTCCAAACATCAGACTCTAGGACAGGTGAAGCAATAAGAATAAAAATAGCATCAGACACTGCACTGTATCCTTTTAACACTCATCCTCATTTTGTTCTATTAGTACTCCTACTTAATGATGAATTAGAGCAACACCACTGGATGCTAACGTTAATATCTTCAATAGGCATCCTGCTTAGTTAATTACGATCAACAACAATCAGCAGGAGAATTTGGTGTTCAGCATTTCGAAAAACAAGTGTAATAAAAATAGTTACAATAGAGCATTAAGTAATTTTTGTTTAAATATCTATATAGCCTCCATTTTAAGAGGCCAAGGTCTAGGGAATACATAAAAAAAACAAACCAAAAACTGTTTCAAAAGGAAGCATGATATTAATATTACCGCTTCCATGTGTAACAATTTTTTATATTTTATTTAACTTCACAGGGCTTAGGTGATCACAGTAATTCTGTTTGCACTGGGGTAGATGGAGTGGAAAAAAGAGCTGGAAAAAATACCAAAGCACCTCAAACTGGATGCCAAATCAACTATACTACAAGCTTAGGAAGCTAAATCGCGTCTTCAGCTATGGTAAATCTGATAAATCAATAGTAACAAGAGAACAAACAAGTAAGGTGCAAGGTGGGTCTTTTTTTTTTGCTACACCTGGATATTTTTACGGCCATCAACTGTATCTTTTTGTGTGTTTTGAAAACTTACTGGAACAGAATTTATGTAACATCCTCAAAATTTATATAAACAAAAAAAATACAGATGCAATATAAAATTCTGTCTGTAACTTTCAAATATGTATTTTAAAAAACTAACACTGCCCTCTACTACATTCTTCATGCAGGTTTTACGCTTTAATATTTTCTCTTCTCATGCAAAAACCTCACCTGCATCTCTTTGCACGTTCTGCAGTCCGCCAAGGCAGGAAGCCTTTTGTTCCTGGTGGAAGTGGTTTTGGTGAGTAACTATCTTTTACGGAGGTATTTTTTTTCCCAGGACTTAGAGACTTTTTAGATGTTAATCCTGTATTGAACAGCAAGAACAGGAGAAAAGAGAACTCATTATACCTAGTTATTGACACATAAATTCACAGTTTACTGTTCATAAGTAAAATTTCCTGTGTAATAAAAGGGACCGTAGGAAATCCGCCTTTCAGTTTAATTTTGCTGAAGTGTTCAAAAACTTTTATTTTGCTTCTCAAAAAGAGGGGTGGACAGGTTATCTGCTTGCAATTATAAGCTGGTATACTTAACTGCTATGTTAGGCTGATGTAAGTAAGGCACACTGTTACTGAAAAAAAGGAAGTTTTGTAGCTGAAGAGGTTTATTCACATGACCGATTTCAAATACCTAACTCTGTTGTCTCAAGTGGGAGCTTAGACACTCCACATAGACAATAAGGCTATCTATGTGCTCCAAATTGCCCTCTGGTGGCTTTAGTGTGAAGAACATCCGTGTTATAACTGACATAATGCTTGAAGCTAAAGCTGGTACTGATGTTGATCGCTTCTACAGAACACCAGCAATATCTTCACTTAAGAGCAACAACAATGAAAAGTCATGTTCACTAGTCCAGTCATTTGTTGTTCTTTAAACCATACACTACCACTGAAAGTAGATTCAGAATAAATACCTAGCGTGGATGATCACTCTAACCCAGGTTCTATGTAAGTCAGAAAATAACAAGCCCAGAAAACCGTTCACTTAGTATTTCATACAGTCAAACTAGTGAGAACTCAGCTTATTGTTTCTCTGAGATCAATAAAACAACTAATTTTGTAATGGTACAGAAATGCGCAAATGTGGTGATGGGATTCCAAGCATTAGTTCGTTCTCAACAAGTAGACAGGATAAAGAGTAGTTTTCAGCTCCTGATTCCCTCCCTCTCTTTAAAACAAACAAACAAAGAAGAACCCACAAAAAACAACAACAAAAAACCCCAAAAGCAACACAAACCAAAAAACACCACAACTACATTTGCCAGGCATGTTCTCCTTCCATCACCCTGACCACCACAGTTTATTTGCACAAAGACTTCAATTAGATTTATGCTTACCTCTCTGCTTCCAGATAACTAGAGCAAAAATGAAAGACAGCCAAATGTATTACTGTGAAATTTTTAGTAACTTATTGAAAAATATTTAGTGCATCACATCTGCCAGTACTTGATCATTAATATTCAAGACACCTATGTTATTTTAAACATACTATTTATAATAGGTTTACATGAAGTTAAAAAAAAAGTATTAAAATACTTTGTACATCAGTAAAAAAATGCATGCCTGTTTGTTCTGGTGGAGAACAGCCTGCTACAGAAAGGTTGCAATGTCAGAAGAACTAGGCAACGTTCTACCAAGCTTCCCAGAAGTGAGAGCTGGTGGACAGGATGCACTCAGAATAAGTATGTGCAATGCTTCCAGATATTTAATTCAGTATATCTTGCCATTTTTGCAGCCACATATCTAGCAGCACTAAAAACAAGAGCAAGTTTCCTGCAGAAACCACTGATGATAGGAGACACATTAAAAAAAAAAAAACATTTATTCTTAATTCAGTAAAGACAAGTATTCTGCAAAACACTGACATTTAGACACATCATATCTTTTATAATTAAAGCTCTTAAACATCAAAAGATTACTTTGTAGACAAAATTTACTATAGTAGAGAAAATAAAGACAGTATTACCAAGACGAATAGTAGCTTTTCCTTTTCGACCACTTCCTAGGACAATAGTTCTTTTCTTTGGTCTAGTTTTCAAAGCATCCTTGGAAGACGGAGATGTCAGCCACTTATACTAGATTTTTTTTTTTTTAAAGAAAGACAAACTGGTTTAGTAACTGGTATTTAAAGAGATACTCATTTAAGATTAGAGGGGGGGTTGTCAGCTATATGGAGAACACTGCTACTTACAGAAAACAAACTGTAAAAATTCCACAAAGCCTAAATTCAAATACAGACTCAATGCGAGTTTGAGCGCTACGTTATCAGGAAGTGTTCCTAGAACACCACTGTAATATCCCATCCAATATTTTCCTTTCTCCTGTGCAAAACACTTCTCCTTTTATAATTAAAAACATGGCACCAACCCTATTAAAAGGAAACCCTCGCTTTTGCTTTTCATTCTCAGAAAGCTGGCTTGTTAGGAATGACTGCCTCAGGCCAAAGTTCTCCAGAATAATAAAATCTTCCCTAATGTGACTTTCTCTTAACAATAAAGTTAGTATTTTAAAAAATACCGAGTTGATTTTCACACCCTGTAATGAAAATTCGTCCTTACACAGTAAAAGCCTCCAAACTAAAGTTAGGACAATAGCGATAATCAAGGGCAACTGCTGTTCTTCAAAACTTCATTTTCTTATAACAGCTCTATTCTTAAATGTTTCGCTTTTCCCAACAAGAGTTTTGTTATTCCAGGCAGATATTCTTAAGTCACAGTGTCATTTATTTTTCAGTGTGCATCAAGCTATAGTCAGTACAAAGTCTAGCACTGGAGCGGCTGTTGAAGGAAACGCAGTTGATACTACCACAAAGCTTATCTCAGATAGCCCTAAACCCCACATCAGAGTATTGGCAACAGTATGCCAAAGTTGTTCCTGCCTAATACACAGGAAAATTAAAATGCCATTACTGTGCTCTAACTAACCAAGCTTAGTCCAAGCTTATCATTGACAAGAAAACCTTTTTTTTTTAAAAAAAAAAACCCAACTTTGGACTCAAGTAATCCTTGTGTAAGTTTTGCTAGGTCTCAGGAGCTAGATCCAGCTGTAGACAAGTGAATTGTTCATTTTAAACTAAAAAATAAGACAGAAAGATTAAAATTAAATTGTAAACATGTAAGAGCAAGAGTATCTCAATTTTGTTTTACTAAACACATAAAAGAGTGGCTATACTAGGTTAAACCTGAAGTTCATCTAGCCAAGCAGCCTGCCTCTTGTCTTGGTGCCTGCTACTGTTGTACAACATACTTAGATGACAACATTGAAGATTAAGTCCATGAGCTGAGACTATGAAGGCAACTTGTTTTACAGACACCTTCAGTGGATCTTACTTGGTCTCTCTCAGAATCTACACAAACTTTCACCATCTATTACATCAATTATATCTACGATTACAATCCACGATACTAGCTACTCAGTGCTGCTAGATAGTAATACAATTTTCCTCTCTTTCAGCTGCCCATCATATTTAAAAGTATCAATTAGTGCTAGGCAGCTCTTCCTGCAGACTTGAAAACCCAACCAAAAAGGCAAGCACCTACATGGCACTGAAAAGCAAAGAGAAACAACCAGTTTTTATGCACAACAAGATGGAAGGGCTGCTGTGACTGGTATCCAGTAAGCAAGTGGTGACAGTACGTTATAGGCTATCTTTGGCAGCCAATAAATGATCTTTTGTAGTTAAGATGGCTTATTACTACAAGGCCATCCAAAAACAGCCCACCAAACTTCCCTCTGTAAAGCAACACAGCAGCACCTTCATATGTTTTCTGCCTAAGCAAAACCATGAAGTCGACACCACAGGTGCCATGATAAGGTGGTACACAATGCAGCTCTGTCTCTTTTTAGATACAAACAAATTAAGACACTTTACTAAGTTTTACTCATGAGAATTATGACAGTTAAGACTCTGGCAGGATAAAAAGCTGAAACCAGAGGTAGATAAACTGGAAGCAGTACTCAAGAAGATCATCCTTGCAACTCTAGTTCTCTGTGGGTGAGATATGGTATGAGTTAGGCCTCTTGCCACAGAGTTAAGTGACAGATGAGTTTCACAGAAAACTACATCTTATGCCTTGTGTTCAGGAAGTCTCTACACATAGGCTAAACTTAGTCCAATTGATTCTTCATTTTCTATCAATATGAAATCCAGATCTTCAGCAACTACAACAAGTAAAAGAAAAAAAAAGTCCCTACTTAACTAAATAATTTCAAAGATAGATACACGTTTTCTCCACTACAAAAAACGGACCAGCGCATTCTTTTAAAACCTCACAGGTTTGGAGACAGTACATAGATAACAAAAGGAAGCAATGTAGATGATAACTGACTGTATTCTGTTTCACAAGCTTAAGCTACAAGAAACAAACATCGCTTTTTAAATTTGTAAACTTAGTCTATAATGGATCCTGCATAAAAAAAACCATGGAAAATCTGAAAAACAACTGAAAGTCTTATATTATGCTAAAACTTGTTAAAAACAGAAAGAATCAGAGTGTTAGTAACATCCAGAATTTAGAATACGCCATTACGACGCTCACAAAGACACTCTTATAAATTGTTTTCACTTGTACATTGTTTTTTTTTAAATCCTATGGCTGAATTGTGACTATTGACAGTATGAAGAAACAGTCCTTGCAGTTTTTCTGCAACAGAGATAAATGACCAACTGCATGTCTTCATTAATACCTTTGACGATTTACTGATGTACTCCCACAGTTTTGACTCCTTAAAAAAAAACAACAAAAAAAAACACAAAACAGCACACCACCAACACCCACACACGACACAACAAAACAAAACCCCATGTGGCTGACTTTCAATATAGATCACATCAAGATACTACCTCAAAGAAACTCTACTGTTTTTCTCTTCATAACATCCAGGCTTCTGTAACTGAGCTCAAAACCAACTGTAAATCCTGGATTAGGGCAGTAAACGTTTCAGTTTCAAAAGAATCGCAACTTCAACATCAAATGTTTGCATTCATGTTGCTAAACCGGTGAATTATCCCTTTTTGAGTGTCTGCACTGTTCCCATGATAAACAGCAAATGTTATTTACAACAGCATACTTACAGAGCTTATGAAATAATAGATCCAGTCTGGTTTTATTTGTGGAAGAAGCAAAGTTACTTAGCAAGCTAGCCCTCAGTCCTTTTTCATTCATATTGTTAATGAGGTACAAAGAATTACTACTAGCATCGCCAATAAGACTTAAGATACAGCACTGCTTGGATGAATATAAAACAAATGTCTTGAGTTGAGTGATCTCTTAGTATATGGGAGATTCCCCACAGAGTTGTTTCTTTTCATGCTTCAACTTTCCAATCATCTTGAGCATCTCCAGACAGATGCTATTTTCATGTCATCCCTGCAACATTTTGCAAGTGTTGATTCCATATGCCAAGAGGAAAAGAGTACTCCTTCACAGCCAACTTCAACTTCTCCAAAAAAGTCTTTAAGAGATTGAAGTGGGGAACTGTATTAATCCTCAAGGAATTCTACAAACAAAGTTCTCAGCTTATTAGATATTCCCTACATACCCACAGCTCTCAGTTCTAAGCCTTTTCAAAACCAAAAGAGCACTAAGTTCCAGAACAAGAACTGAGATTGTTGCAGCTCTGCTAAGAAAAAGAGTACACTCGTTTGTTTGCTGTCTCCTTTGGGAACTGAATCCAATGTCTGGTTTATAACTCAGTATTTAAACAGTACATTTAATCATAAATGGTCTAGGTATGCAGTTTATGCACATTACTGCAAACTCTCTATGAACTAACAGATAAAGACGGCAAGGGGTACTAAACTCCAGGTTTTTAGATGGATGGTATTGGAAAGGATAGTCTCAAGTAACTTAAAAAATAATCTTAACTATGTAAATTAATGACAAAACAAGTTTTAAAATAAATTAAGTTTTAAATTTTAAAGTGTGATTTCTTTTACTTTTTTAATTAAAAGTTCTTATTAGCATGTTAACTAGAAAGACATACGCAGGAGAAAGCCTTCCAGCAGTCCAGCAGCAATATTTACTTAACATTCTACAGTAATGCCCAAGTATACACACACATGCATTTTTCTTTTCACTGAATAGATATCCTGGTTTTATTACATGTTACACCTTAAATTACATAAGGAAACATACAAAATGCCCAATACAGTATCATGTTGCTGATAGTGTTTTTAATTTTTCCCTTTGTAGTGTTTTTTGTTTAAACTGCTTAAGAGTCAGACTTCTGTTTATTACTAGAACAGCTGTTTTAGAGTCATTCTGAACAAAACTGTCCTTTAAAAAAAAAATGCAATGGCAGCTACAAAGAAAACCCCAAACTCACCCCAAAATGCCTAACACATACCTCTGAATTAGCACTACTTCCATTCATAAGAACTCTTTCAATAATGTTTTTCATCACAACGTGATCTAGAATGAATTAAGATATCTTATTAAGAATTTCCTGTATAAGTATTTATGCAAACAAACAGATCATTGATTCCTGCCCAGCTCCATTCTCCGGTTTTAAAAATGTTTAGCAAAATACAAGTTTTTTTTCCTTAAAAGTGGTTTATTTTTCCCTCCAGAGTTACTGGGGGAAAAAAAAAACCCACAAAACACCACAAAGAGGACAGAGGTAGATAGATACATACCAATTAATGGATTTTTTCTTATGTCAAGTACCACTAGTGTTGTATTAGTTTGAAGAGCATCTAATAATGACCTGGCTCCTTCATTGGATATTCCACACTGCTGCAAATCAAGTGCTAAAATGTTTAAGGAAAAAAAAAATATATATATTCAGTGGCATAACCTGTAGTCAATATCTAATAAAATTAATCCACACCTGCTGAAAACCTCCATTTCACAGAACATGATGTGTGAGAAAAAAGGACAAGACAGCCATATGTAAAAACAAGAATATTACTTTCAGAGAGGAAAACTAGAAATTTAAATCAGTATTATAGATCAACATTAAGAAATAACTGCTAAGCAACTGCAAAGGAAGGAATACAAAAATCACAGTTAAGTCACCGTTTTTGGCAATTCCGAGTAGACAATTCAACCGCCCAAGGTAACATCACATGTACAAACACACAACTTGCATCTGAACAGTCTGTCAATGCTTCTACAAGCTTATTGCTTGCACACATCAGTGAGTTACGTGGTCACCATGGAACAGTACTATCATGGCTTTCATCATTTATTCATGGACTTGATCATTTATTTCATGTTGTGCATGCACAGAATCACAGAATGGTTGAGGTTGGAAGTGACCTCTGGAGGTCATCTTGCCGAACACCCCTGCTCAAGCAGGCTCACTTAAAGCCAGTTGCCCCATACCCTGTCCAGACAGCTCTTAAACACCTTCAAGGCTGAAGACTCTACAACCACTTTGGGCAACCTGTGTCAGTGTTCAGTCACCCTCACAGCAACAGTGGAGGGTGTGGGGGTGTGCGCGCGCGTGCGAAGCTGAAAGAGGCACCCATCAGCTCACTGAAGTTGCCCACTGCGAAGGGACTCTGGTCCTGGCAGTTAAAGTCTTGGGTGGTGTGAGTGCAACTCCTTGAATGGCACGAGAATGCTCAGGCAGTGGCCTCTCCTTTAACAATACCATTAGCCTTCTTTGCCACAGTGGCACTTTGCTGGCTGATGGTCAGCTTGTTGTCCACCAGGACCCTTTCTGCAAAGCTGCTTCCCAGCCACACAGCCCCCAGCACATTCTGGTGCACAGGATTATTCCTGCCCAGGTGCAGGGCTTTGAACTTCCTTTTGTTAAACTTCTTGAGGTTCCATCAGCCCACTTCTCCAGCCTGTTAAGGTCCCTCTGGATGGCAGCACATCCCCACCTTGCCAAGGAACCCAGTAAGGCTGACTTGCTTGTAGTTCCCCAAGTCCTTCTCAGCCTTCTTGAAGATAGGAGTGACGTTTGCTATTCTCCAGTTCTCAGGCACTCCTCCCAATCACCATGAGCCTTCAAAGATTGTTGAGAGTGGCCTCAAAATGACATCAGTCATCTCCCTCAGCACTTCTGGATGCATCCCACCATGGCCTACGGACTTCTCTATGTCCAGTTTGCTTAAGTATTCTTTAATCTGATCCTCTTCCACCACTATGCATGTTATTTGTACACTTGGCTCAAACTATAAAACAATTTCAGCAGGCAAGTATTTAATTCCATGTACAGAATACTATGACTTACACCACCACTGTTAATAATTTTGTACATATATACCATAGAACAAACAATACTTTTCTAAAATACTAGAGGACAATCCTAGAAGACATAATCACTTTGACAACTCAAAAAAAGAAGAGAAATTTCTTTTCAAAAGAAGAGATTACTTTTTTCTAGCTAAATAGTGAGCTACTCTTCTGGTGACACTTGCTGTAACTGACTATTTTAAGTTTTCTGCCTGCCACTACTATATCTTAAGAGTCAACATTTCCCAGTACCTTTTAGCCAAAGGTCTTCTCCTAGACAGTCTGCAAAGGCACTTGCTCCTCTATCTCCAACAAGCATGTTGCAATTGAAAGTAATTCGCCTCAAGCCGGTCATGTAGTCAAGGTCAGGTATCCTGTAGCGCAGGCTTCCAGCCCAGGCTTCACCATGCCTTTTCATCGCCTGGTGCTTTGCAAACAAAGAAGCTGTTACCAAGTGCGAAGGCACAGCCATTACTGATGACAAGGTCACAAGTTATCTTTGTTTGATGTTTAATGGCTTGAGTGCTGATAGAAGAAACACAGTTACGCCATTTCTGAGTTCAAGAAATACAAGTCATTTTTAAACATTACAGTTAAGTCATGTTTGTTCTGATCATCTGATTTGCAATACAAATTATTAAATATGGCTACAAAACATCTTATTACCTTCTTTTGGCAGACTGACCCTTTTAAATCATCCTGAACAGGAAATACACCCTAGGAAATTTTGAGCTTTCATGCAAACCAATGCTAACATTAATTAGAATATTGTACTAGTCACAAGCTTACTAATGAGTTAATTAGTAGCTTCTAAACTGTCAACTCAATTATTCTTACCCAATGCTTAAGAATACTTAAGTAATTTTTCAGAATCTGTGGCAATGGAAGAAGTGCTCCCCAAAATAAACGTCAGACATTTACAGCCCTAATCCTCATTTAAAGAAAATACATCAGACTGAACTGTTATTTGTTTAACTCATGTTTACTAAGAAATGTCATATTGAAATCCCACACCAGTAAACTAAGCTACTTTTGGCACACTAAGTCACAAATTTCAGAAGGACTATTCACATGCCTAACTTTGGGATTCAAATACGCTGCTCACAAAGTGCTTTGATGGATTCAGAGCTTGAAAATAAAAGTAAAAATCAAAAGTATCTAAGTTCTTGCGAACATTTGGTTCTAAACAAGGTGATTAAATTACCTTTAACACATTTGCCATATGTTCTGCCCCTCGCCATGTCAGGCTACATCCTGTGAAGTTTACATATCTGATAGTAGCTGAATTCTTTACGCTTTGACAGATTGCTGAAGAAAACAAAAGCATGCATGTTAACTAAGCACACCACAGCTAGATCAGAACACACTTTTTCACTGCCATGTTAAGAAGCTGAATCAGCTTTAATAGGTGAAAGCCTTGACAAAGAACTAGTGTTGCAATGCTAAATATATTTTTATATACATTTAAAGCGTTCCAAGATTATGTGTTTCTAGTGCAAGCGTTTGGCAAAGACTCTGAACAAGCTAGAACATATTTTATTTCAGTTTACTTACGTAAACATGAACAAACCAAGAGTTAACCTCAAACAAATATTATGACTATTGTTTTAAATAAAAGTTTAACATTACTATAAAGTAGCATGGCTATTTACTAGCATCGGGTGAAGAAATTCAGGTCTTTTAATGTTAAGTCATGTAGAACAAAGTGATTACTGTTCTTTTAATCGCTATAGACAAATTTAAAACAGGAATGGAAACACTGAAAAACTTACTTATCTATTTAAAGACTAAAAAAAGAGAGAAGTATATTTACACGGTTTTGATTCTGAACTTACTTTCTAATCCTCCATCTCCAATTGGACAGTGGGCTAAAGACAAACTCTCCAGAGACGAAGCTGTGGCCAAGCCCTTCAGAATAAAACCAATGTTAGTTAACTGGCTTGAAAAGGAAAAAATACAAACAGAGAAAAGACCAGGTCACTCAAACTGCACAGAACTCTCTGTGCTCCCTACAAGAAACCCTAGGGGGTTCGGTGGAAGATCAAAACAGGTGAACCTTAAAGCTCAGTCTAAGCTGGTTCATTTCTCAAGCACCTGAGGAGCTGTAGCCTCTGCGCAAAAAGCGGCAACCTCCCTTCCCGGAAGCCACTCGTGAGCAAACTGGAAAGTGTTCCAATAACCTGTTTGTCTCTCCTCGGTGTCCCACGATTTTCCTTCTGTCATGTACATGCATGATACTTTGAGTCATAAGCAGAAGTTACGCACTCTGAACACATGGCAGAGATGTTGCTAAGAACTTTCTAATATGCCTTGATGCATCAGGGCAAGGGAAGGTTATGGGATTTTGACAGACTCGGCAAGATTAGGTTATACTGAATGTCTCAGCATAATCATTCATATGATTCATACGGATAATACAAAGATATCTTAGAAGAGGAACATCCTTGCCTGTGACAAATATTTATAAAATCTAGTTGCTACTTCTCTAAGTTCTAAGCATACTTTCCATTTATTTGTGTACTAACATATTCTCACCTTTGTTAAAAGTATTAGATCTCTCTCCCTCAGAAGCAAACCCTGTAGTTCTAAATTTTTCAGTACATCTGATATACTGAGACAGCCTTTGACAGCCTTGCATAGTTGCCCAGTCAAGTCTTTTGATTGAATTGCTGGAATTCTCCTTCTAAAGTAAGTCTTATATCTTTCAACTCCTAGTAAAGAACAAAAATCACACATCAGTAAAATCCAATCCCTATTGACTTAAAAGCAATCATAATCACACCTTGCTTTTTTGCAGCTTTTCCTAAACAGAAATAATTCCTTAGGTATTACAATTTCTCCCCCCACGTATTCAATCACACAAAAGTTTTATGCAACAAATTGTCTGTGAAATTCTATCATGCATACATCAACATATTTACGTTTTACAGCCATCAGTACCAACCTGATTCTCCAAGACTCTGTTGATGAAAACTTCTTATTCCAATAGAAGTCAGAGTCTTATTATGCCTGACAGCATTCAGAAGTGGAGCCCAATCAGCAGCTTTGATGCGATCTACAACTAGATCAAGAGCACCCTGACTTGGGTTAGCCTTCACAGCTTTCAGTGGCACAGAGCCTTGAAGAGCACAAAGATGTTCATAATGTGAGTAGAAATCCAGCATGCACTGTCGCCTTATTTTGACTGACTCAATCATTTCTCTTATGTGATAAACGCCTCTCTAAAATAAAGGAGGAAAAAAAAAAAGATACAAACTTTTTCCAATGTGTAATTGATTTCCCAACAGTCTCAATTCAACATGCATACCCAAAACGTGAATGAATACGTTAATGCATATTGTATAGCATTTACATGTCTTTGATATGGCAGCTAAAAACCATTGATGTCTTGTGATGCTCATTACCTGTGCAAGTACAGCTGAATGAGTAAGAGGGTGGGAAAAAAAAACAACAAACTTGCATTTTTCTTCTCCCACTCAAATAGGTATACCCAAAACACAAAAGGCCTAGTGTAAAGTTCTTGTTTTCCTCTTAACATTTAATTTCATAGTGTCAAGATCTGCAGGCTTCTGAAAGCCTTAGATACTCCCTGATCCAACATCAAGGGTTACAAATGACTATTCCATAGAGAACTAGTTATGAGCTTCTCTGCTACTTCAATCAAAAGTCTAAATTCTCATAATTAGGTGTGATTTCCTAAATATTTTTGCTATTGTATACCTTATATGCTTATCCCAGTAAATTTAGGAAAGCACTTTTCAGGCATAAGCTTTTGTTATACACTAGTACCCATGTAGCAAAACAGTACTAACTCCCAAGAAAAATCTCTAAATACTGCTATGGCACGGATATTAGGAGTAAGTAATTCCCCAGTCTCAATATGAACACTTGTCAGTCTATTTGGAGGACCCATTTATTTATTTATTTATTGCTCAAGACAGCATTAACTATCCCACACAGGATATCAAGCATTGTTCACATTGCAAACATTTTTCCATATTGCTAAAAACTAGAAAGCTTCAGCCAATCTTCTGAAACACTCTGTGTGTCAACATAGGACAAGAATTACTGGACACGTACAAGCATGCGGGGACAGCCATTTGTAAGAATATAACTCAGAAAAAAATAATTACATTATTGGTATTTGGATCACTGAAACTGTAATAGGAACAGAAACTCTAGTAATAGTTCGTCCATGCCCTTTTATTTCTTTTATATTAGTTCTAATTTACTACCATTAGACAACGACCACACTGTGGCCACAGGAACAGAAATGACTAAATTCTAATCCAACACTTCAGCTTTCAGATGAAAATGACCATCAATTGTAAAGCATCACTGATTTCAGGTGATGTATCAATGCGCAATGTATTAATTAGCCTTTTATCTCCAGAGCTTGAGCAATACTCTTTCACGATGGCTTTCACTGCAAAATCTGAACATCGCGCCTCTAACTGAAATAAAGAAAGGAGCTCCTGGACCTAGCACTGAAGTTTTAACCCGCAGCTAGAAAAGAAAAGGGCCAAACTAATCAGACCCACAATAACTTCCAACTGAGAAACAACTATGCAAAGCAGAACTCTTGGGCATGGAAGCCAGTGTTTCTGACAGAGCCCTAGAATATCTGGACTGGCACTGAGACAGTACACGGGAGGCAATTATTTACTATCTCTTTCAACACAGAAGCAAGAAGGCATCAGATGATACTAGCCAGTGAGAAACTAAAGTAAAAAAAGAAACAAATCTCACAGTAAAACCGAGAAATCCAGCTCCATGCTAAGAGTTTTTGGGAAGCTATGTTTACAGTGATTCAAAAAACAGCTGGGCAAATTTATAGGGAGACAAAAAAAAAATTGCAGACAAGACCACTGACCACAGAAACAACGACCGTGCCCTACATCCAGAACGGCAAGATGCACACACAAAGCTTCACTACAGGCTCACTCTCGGTTTACACGCTTTATTAAGCGTGGCCTGACGGTCTGCTGGGGCTAAGCACGTTTTATTCGGCCTGCTGGACCACTGCCTTTAAGCACGTAACACAACATCCACCGCAGATACACGAATAAACACGCCTGGCTGCAGTTCGGGTAAACCAGGGGGTTTACGTTTCGCCCACGCAATATCGCCACCAACCCGGGGAACGACTTCAGCGCACCATTAACCCAGCACGAACCGCGGACTGCGCCGCTCGCCGTCGGCCGCGGGGCTACGAGCGAACCGTCCGGCCGAGGGGAGGGGAGGGACG